TGTGTGTGTGTGTGTGTGTGTGTGTGTGTGCGCTGCGCGTCTGTACCGATTTTTCATCTCGAGACCAACAAAAGCTACGGGGTTGAAATTTGGGGAACCTAATCTACATGCATGTGCGGGTCCCCATCTTCGAAATGGGCGTTCGTACTCGCGTGATACCCACGTACAGGCCCACCAAAGTTTTATTTGGGTAAGCTGTTAACTCGGGAACCTGAAAAGCTAGAAAGCTGAAATTTGACGGGGATGTTCACTGTCCACGCAAGTCTTAATGAGCTTCAAACCAGTCCTCAGGTACGCGTGTTACCCACGTGCGGTCGCGCCAAAATTTTTTTCGGGTAAATTACCTGAAAAGCTAACTCGAGTACTTGAAAAGCTAGAAGGCTGGAGTTTTGAGTATCTGTTCCCCGCTCAAGTAGATACTGATGAGTCCAAACCTAGCCCCCGGGTATGCTTGGTACTCACGCACGGGCCCGCCAAAGTTTTTTTCGGGTCAGTTGCTAACTCGAAAACCTGAAAAGCTAGAAGACTGTAATTTTAAGAGGATGCCCCCGTTCACGTAAGTCTCAACGAGCTTAAATCCAGATATCGAGTTTGCGTGGTACCCACATACGGGCCCACGAAAATTCTCCTTGAATAAGTTGCTAATTCAGGAGCCAGGAAAGCCAGAAAGCTGAAATTTTAAGGAGGTGTTTCCTGACATTTCTGGCGGCCAGTCTTAACTTGTTTAGTTAGAAGCATCTGCCGGAAAAATCGGTGTCGGTAGCGTCAAAAACGGCGGGGAACTGTGCAGAAAACGCATCTTCGCGCGGGGAGCCCGTGCTTTGGCCAGTTATTTATTTTATATGAGCCAACCCATACGTCGGGACCATCTTATGTTTCGTCGGTAAAAATGCGTCGTACACATCCTCAAGCTTCTTCTGACGTGAACTTTTATTTCTCCATAGCCTTAGTTCTACGATATGGAATAGAGGGATTGAACTTAAGTGTCATGTATAAGAAGACATCTTACGATGCAGTCTCTGTTTTATCGCTTAGCTATAAAGAAACCGAACTATGCATGTGGAGAGGAGCGGGAATCATCAGTATAGCCTTCTATCCACCATGTACTGAAAAGTCATTTAACCAACTGTCAAGACCGATATACGGAAGAAAGAGAAATCAGAGAGAGAAAGAACAAACAGAGTTAGCACAACTGCTTCCAGATGTCTCCAAAAAGCAACATAAGTCTGTCGCCTCATCAGCGATACTTTCACCAGTGTCAACTACTATCCTTCATTTAAGTTACTTGAGAAGTAAGCTAATGACTGCTTGAGTTTCACATAAACACGTCAGTCAACAAACATCAGGAAATTGATTTTGTAGATTTCGAGGAATTATCCAGAGATGCCCATTTAGGTGATAAATAAAGACGCCAAAACCCATTTTGCATTTTATCTGATTAAGCATGGCTTGTTTGAACCACTGTACAAGTTTACCGAAACTTCTTTTAACGAAAGTAAACGAACAGATGTCCATCCAAGTGATAAATGAAGACGCCAAAATCTATTATTTGATCACTATGTTTTTTTCCCTCAATCTGCTACAAAAAATATAGTTTGTAAAAAAAGTACTTGGAAAGAGACCCGTTCGTGGACGAATGTTGGCATACGTGGTGGCGCCACTGCAGATGTTGATGGTGGAACTCCATTGATGGCACTGGAAGATTGTTTATCTCCTGCTAGTGTTGCTGCAGATGGTGGTATCGGAGCTCCACGTTCACCGCCATAATCCCCTTGCACCTCGATACAATTCTCCACGTCCTCGTCCACCACTACCTCCTGAATTTCAGCTCAGTTTTTGCCAATACGTTTCTACACCAATAAATGGAGAGAAAACGAAAGCGCGCAGGAAAGAGGCAGAATAATCCTGAAGCGAACCGCAGCACGATCTCCCGATCCCCAGTGCTTTCCCGCTCTTGTGATAAGTATAAAAGCATGTGATTTTTTTTGTAAGTTGTAGTGTTGTTCCGTTGTGTGCAGCATGTCGTCTGTCGCCTCTCCGCCTTGAAGTTCTATATTTTTACTGTGTTGCGTTCGATAAACTGTAGATCATGAACCAGCTCAGCCAGATTCATGATTACCGGGAACTCTGCATACTGATCGAA